TGCTACTGGCCAAATATCATTACCCTGGGCATTTTGGTTAATCAGAAGAGGTTGTTTAATTTTTTTTTTTAATACAATTGACCCCTGTGACCTTGAATATAATTGAAGGTCATTCATTTGAACAAACTTGGTAGCCATTCACTCAGGCATGCTACTGGCCAAATATCAACTCCCTGGGCATTTTGGTTATTGAGAAGAAGATGTTTAAAGTTTTTGACATATTTGACCCCTGTGACCTTGAAAATAGGTGAAGGTCATTAATTTTAACAAACTTTGTAGCCCTTCATCCAAGTTTGCTTCTGGCCAAATATCGACACCCTAGGCCTTTCGGTTATTAAGAAGAAGTCGTTTAAAGTAAAATATTGACGCCGGACGCCGGACGACGGACGCCGCGCCACGGCATAAGCTCACTTGGCACTTCGTGCCAGGTGAGCTAAAAACTGTCGCACTAACGGCAGCGTCAACCGTATTGTTACCGAGTTATACTCTTGGTTGGGACAACACTGGTTTGTATTATAATGCAAACCAATACAACTTATATTCATCTGACGGCAATATAACAGTACAACTGTTTTGAACAAAAATCATGTAAATGAAATAATTGTCATATCGCAAATAACTTACTCATCATTTTGCTCACTTTACTTGAGAGAGTATTTGTAGCCTTAAGTTTAATGTTACTTAAAGATAACAAGTAAAACCATCGTTTATTCGATGATTGTATCTTAAAAACTTGTGTGGACAGTTTGCATGTTTATCGCTCACTATCTCAAGATTCTTCTAAATTAATGTTGTTTAACCCAAACACAAAGAGGTATATCTACCTTCCCACCTAAAGGTCTTCTATAAGCATTATTGGAAGGGATTGCGGTCAGAGAGCTATGAACGGTATTTGATCAGCGTCATATTTACGGACAGGGGTTGAACGGTATTTTTTCGATGTTTTGCATCCTTCCATTGCAATGATAAGGCGAATGGTGCTGTGAAACTATAACAGGATGTACATGTGCTTGTGTAACCGCATCAGTCTCTTTTGACATTTTGTGACACTATCACTTTAATTGTTGTCAACGCCAAATTTGCTGTTCAAAGAACTATTCGGGCTGTATCAAGTTTGTCCACATTAGCAATGTGTGTTATAGGACCATAACAACGTTTGCTAACACATTCATTGCTTAAATGAACGCAAATCGGTAACAAACATATTCACCATTAAGCCCGCTATAACATGGCATCTGAACATGAACCTGCTGAAGTTACTGTACTTTCAGTCTGGGTACATCACAATGCTCGTGTGATGTTCATTGAGACAAAAACGTCACTCTGCAATAAGAGGAAATCCATCTACTCATCTTCGACATGTATGATCTGCGATATCTAATTGCGATCATCTTTACACAAACAATAATTAAAGCATTGGTTTTCCATGGAAATGTTTGCTGAAGAACTGCAGAATACGTCTCCACGAATCTTCTTGCGCAGCCGCATGATCCTTCGGATTTCCTCCCCACACCAGATTGTTTTCTATAATAAAAACAACATCAACACATGAGGATTTAAAATAATGCATTTTTCGTTAAGCTAAACATAAGTATTAATTATTAATTATAAGACACATCTTAAACATTTGGGAATAGATACAGTTTGTCAAAAGTGAATTTCACCGCATCATACAGCGGCTACAGGTACAGTTATTGTATCCCTGCAAATTCTAATCCTGATCGCAGTTAATAAGTGTATGAACCCTCGTGTGAAAGTTATACTGTTTTAATTCGATAGAAACACTGTAGTTTATTTGGTTAACATTTTAACATATAGTTCTCGTTTTGGCCAGGTAATGTGGCTGATAACTGCAGTTAAGTACGTATAAATTAAATAGATGGCAAGGACCACCTATCATAAATTACTCGTTCTCAATTTGAACACGTCACATTACGTAGATGTTTATGGTACACATAAATGAGGGATACTTACGTGCAAGTTTGTTGTAAGAGGCCCGGCAGTGTGGGGAGAAAGGGGGCTCTATCAAATGACCGGCACCCTTGTATTTGACCAGTTCAATATCATCACGTTTGTTGACGGGAAAACAGTTCACCTGCAGCTGGTGGAGATCGGGAGGAAGATTCAGGTCATCACCACCACAAATACTCAGGATTTTGACGTCGGATTCCCAAACCTGCACAAAATTATAAATATAAATGTAACGACAGACATCCTTTGTTTCCTATATAGTGTCATACTGCCAGCAATAGCCAAGTTCCGCCTTCATTTATCATATAACTTCTCCATATAGATATAAACTTTATTCTATTACAATTTATATCAATCACTCTTGTTAGCCCATAAGTTATGTCGGTGCAGATAGGAGTGAGGGAAGAAACCGGAAACCCCGAAGGAAACCAAAATGGTCTGGGCAGGTGACCCTTGGTGAATGGCTAGTGAGCATATGCGGCACGTGTATGTGTGTATACGGCACACCTACACGCATACACGCACCCACAACCTAACACGTCATTAAATGACATTTGCTGTTAATAGGACGTTAAACAAAACTAAAGGACCCAAACACTCACAATTACAGTCCAGCAGGTTAATATCAACAATGTGATATTCTTAGAAATTCGGTTAGAAATTCAAGAATCTAAATAATGTCTACAGTTCGTACAAAGTGTCATCTACATGTTTCGGCCTACCATCTTCGTTACACCCTCGGAACGCTACTCATATTGATTACATTCCAGTAAGTGTAGTAGCCAGGGGAAATAACTCTTCACCAAACGTCTTCATTTCTAGCTGACCAACTATCTGGGAGGTTGTCCGATTAAAACAGTCTTACACATCAGTGATGACATAACAAAATACCTATTTATCAGAATAAAAGGGTACCCCATAACTTAAATCGAACGACAGTTAAATAGCAATATAAAATAGAACAGTCTTTACTTTGGTGAATTTTTCAGTGTCAAAGCAGTGGCCATTTCTGCCGACAACACCTTCATGAGTAAGTTCACAGGACGAGAGATCCAAACTGAAAAAAATCAACAGGTAAATTGTTAAGATATTTTGCAACTTTATCAGTTTTTGAGAAACATTCGGTAAATAACATTAAATAGGAAACATTTGCATGTTAACCGATATTCACATGCATGTGATTACAATAGGGAAAAAAACGAAGTGTGTTACGCCGTTTTAGTCCGAGTATGTTGTTGTTAATTACCTTAGCTTTTATGAACCAACGTTTACTGGGTATGTGTAGATAGATGTGGAGAATCACATAAATATCAGTGTGGGTTCCTGTTAATACCAGATCAGTGAAAATGCAGATAGATACGGTTGTTTTTTGTTTTTTGACACTGCCTTAACATTACTAACTATACAAAAAAAAGTATCAAGGCTTGTCAATGTATTGCATAGCCTACACATTCAACGAACCTATTAAAACATGAGAGATTGCACAATTGGGCATAAAATGTTCTTCAAAACTGTTTTGATCGCTTTAAATTCAACATCAGCTTAGCAATTAAGAGCAGGTGATTACAATGCGTCCATAGATAATTAAACTTACTTCACAGCAGGTGGGTATAACACATCTCCGTCTCTGATAGGAAAGAATGTTATGTAAGGCATGCCGTTCACTCTGACCATACATTTTATCTACAAAGAAAAAAATATGAATTTGTCATATCTAAAACAATTTGTTTTGATTGAGAGTGTTTTATATTTGATTGATACATCAGCCAGCTGCATAATATCCAAAACGAGGATATTACTAATTTCCTATCAGAGTAATGTCATGCTACTCGTGTACCATACAGCTATATCATAACTACAATATATTGTTTTACTTTCACCACGGCTGTCCCTGCTGCAATGTCACCACTAATTCACAATGCAGCAGTTCTGTTACTGTACAAGTGGACATTTTAGCGTTGTAAACCTTTAAAACAAACACGGTTTTGATAATGTCTATTTCTAATCTGAAAATTCCATCTTGCATTTCATGCGCGGATATTTTGTGCACTTGTAATTCAAATCGAAGAAGGACATAATTCCACACCGAGACAATTTCCACTTTTAACTCCTTCACCCCTGAAGACACATTTGAAGTTTCCCGATTCAAACGTTGGAATAGTTTATTATGGCACTTCAGGGGTGAATGAGTTAAAGTATAGATATATGATATTTAATAACCAGAAAGGAGGATTACCAACAGATGATGTATACGGACCATGAGTACCAAACATAAATATCGGAAGTACCAAACATCACATTCACAGCGGATCTTACCTGTGGACAATGGATAGCCGTTAATTGCGCAAATTCTGCCCCTTTTGAGTTTGCCAATATTCCCAGACCACCAGGCTTGACATGAGTGTGAGTGTCCAGGAATGCTGCAGCATCCTGTGGTTAAACATTTAAGGAAGTGTGTTTAATCTTATAACGTAACTAAAACCTGACATAGAAAATAACTTATTCAGCTAGCGCATCCAATATCAATATATGTTACTATAGTAGGACTTTACCTGGGCCCGTATTCATTAAACCGTTCTTATGCTCATGTATGGTTTTGTGTTCAAGCCTTATTTCATGTTCTGTTTATAACTTAACAAATCTTATTTTGTCTATGATTTGGAAATATTTTGAAGAGACTTAAAGCCAGATACGGTTTAAATGTTTACATTTAACTTTTTGATCGTTGACATGATATACATGTAGGCAAGTTACAAAAAATATAGTTTAAGCACAGCATCCATGCTTGAGCATGAGAACGGTTTCATGAATACGGGCCCTGATATCAATCTAGGTTAATAAAATTAGTATTCAATAAATATATTTCTTCCATAACCATGCAAATTATATTTCAATCATATTTAGCTTATAAAAATCGCTCTGTCGATACTTGGAAACAGCTGATGATAAGGAAAGTAGCAAAAACCCAAACATTATCTAATTTACAACATTCCGCTAAATTTATTGTAGATGTTTAGCTGGTTATCTTAACATAAGTTCTCACCTTGAAATATTGCAAATCAAGTTTATTTGTGTGTTTAGGAAGATCTTCATAGCCGTAATAGGGGAGCGCCAGTACAGCATAACCATGGGACGCAAGTAGGGCAGCACGATTCTCCAACACACCCAACTCCAGACCAGCGATATCTATAACTCCTGGAAACGGCCCAGAACCTACACACGATCAAACAAATATCAAAAGTGAAATTACCTTCAACATTTCATTCCTGAAGCATTCCTGGATGCTCTTTACGCTTTTAGAGAAGCAAATATATTATGCGCATGGTTCAGCTAACTACGATAACATGTCCCACTAGTATGATGGTTATAAACAAACTTTAGCATTTATGGCTGTTTTCTAATACCTCTTGGTAGAAAAAGTGTCCCTCGCAGTCGCCCTGAGGTAATGGGTGTTCTGCTAACACCATTGGGTTTATACCAACGGGTCAACACATTTGTCACCAATGGTGCATCCAAAAGGCCACTGCAAAGGTCTTCCAGACAGCGGTGACCACTGTAAACAGAAATATCTACTGTCTGCGGCTTTGTGACGTCATTCTGTAACAGCTGTGTTCCTGGACGTTGACCAGGCGATGGAAGCAAGCTCCAGATAAAACCCATGCCATCCACACCTGTGGTAAAGGCGATGTAGAAAATTCAGGTGAAATGTAATTTATATATAGCGACAATAATTCGGTATATCTATATTTGAACAAGATCTGGTTTCATTCAACTTGTCTATTAAATTAGATATAATCTGTAGATTTCGAGAATGCACATATAGAACTTCTTGATTATCGCTAAATATTAGTATGATAATGACGTATCCAGGTACAAAACGTACATTTGCCCTTGCCATCCAAATTAGGCTTCATACATGTATCAACATTGAAATAAAACTTTTTCCTGACATTTTTTTTTATATGTAGTGCTCTACTGAGTGGATGTTACTGATGATTCAGACGTGCAAGAGTCTCGTTATAAATTCTCACCTGTGTAGGTACCTGCTGAGGACGGCATGCTCTCTAGGTCCAACTCTCCGTCTTCTGTTGCCTGGTAACACCCAGAGCTGGCAAACGTTACTCCCTTGTCGCCCTTGACGGAGGTATACACGGTCACCTGCTGTCTTGCCTCCAGCCCAGACGCCCGAACAGACACCTTTTCGTCCACCAGTACGTCATTAGGGTCGACGGACAGTCGTATTCCATTCATGGCTCTAGTGGTGATATATTGTCTGGCCGACGCTGAAAAAGATGTAATAAAAATTGAAAATTAGTATTATTATTTCAATTAATGATATTCAAGTAGGATTTCAAATTTCGTGAATTTCAATAATGAATTTTATTCTTGAAGATCCTTTTTTTTTTTTTTTTTGGGGGGGGGGGGGGGGAGAAGGTGGGTTGCAAATAATACAATTAAAACACCCGTTGCTCCGTTTTTATGACTTTTGAAACCTGAAGAATCGTTGACGTCTAGAATCTCATTACATGTGAAGGCAAAATAATGAATACGTGATATAGCAAATATTACACTGTTGTACAGGTCTCTATTTTTCCTTTTCCTGACTCTTATTGTCTTTTTAAGAGGTATCGCAATAAAAAGTCATCCCCTAGCTGCTAGAGCTAATTGCTGTGGATGACCTGTCTTCTGGAAACATTGTAAACCATCTGAAACTGCAAAGACGGGGCAGGTATTTTTATGTTTTCTGACTTGTTATTCTGGTCCACAGTGTTCCTGTAATCTCGCTCCAAACTCGTTACAGAGTAACTTGTTATAGAGTAGAGCCGTTATTTTGTACCCGTTCTTATTTGAAGAACGCCATTAGATGATAATCAAAATTATTTGACATGGATACCACCGTTATTTTTTTCAAAATATCACTCTTAGAATCGCGATAATTTGATATCTAATTTGTCTGTTATTTTTTTGTACGGTCCATAATGTATTTAATTACACTTCACTACACTAAATTTCTATGCATGATATATGTAGATTTTATCATCATGATCAGCATTTTCGTCAAAAGACTATACATAAACTAAAGCTGATCAATTATAAGACCATGTATTTACAATTAGTATTTTTAGTAACAACACAACCAACAAAAGACAATTCGATTGTATTGACATATTGATGGGAGAGTTTGCGTTCTTGACTGTCTTGCAACATATCATTTCGATAACCGTTTTTATCCGGGAGCTGATGTTAGTGCTAATTTCGGAAAGATACAGGAAACTTTATTTAACGTCGCATACAGGTAAACAAGGAACATTAGCTCTTGAGAGCTATTATTGCGACAAACATATGTAAAAATAACAATAACATATTAGATTACAAGTAAAGGGAGATAATCACATATATTAATAAAACAAAAACAATAATAATCATCACAGAAAAGGAAAGTATACATATCCCAGGTTTCTAAGTGATTGGGAGTCCCCTACCTACAAAGGCCCCCGGGATATATATATAAAAATAATGTTAATATATGAAAAGCATTAAATGTGATCACAGATAAGTAGTATTCAGAATAGGTAATAAAACACATAGCTAATAGTGAATGAATACTTGTATATCACACAAGAATTACTTAGGACTTAGGATTAAAACACTATGAAGTGGAATATACATACATTGCTAATACAGCAAAGAATAAAAATTGACAGAATATACACTATTATAGTGTGAATTAAAAATGATACCGAAATCAATTAACAAAATTTAAGTTTTGTAAAACATTTTTTTTTAGAATATATGGAATTAAAATACAAATAAGATGCAGCAAAAATAAAGAAAAGAATTAAAACATATAGGAAATGAGATAAGACAATAAAAGTATCACACAATCCAAGACGGACAGTCTGAGCACACGAGTGCCTGTAACCCCCGGTCTAGGCTTCCTTCTTTACAGTGTTAGGATTTAACCACATGTAAATCGAACACTCCATAGTTACAATAGTTCAATATACAAATGAATGTAAATGTAAACGAAGGGAAGCAAACACGAACACAAACAAATTTACAAAATGAAGCAAAACGCCAATCGAAGAACGCTAAACGAAAAACGCTAGATAAAAAACGCAAATCACAAAACAATCTGGGCGACGCAAATGAACAATAATGATAAAAATCGGAGAGAAATGAACGCAAGCAGGGAATTGTTTTGACGATAAACAGTTCGGGGTTTCTAGATGGTAGGTATAGGTAAATTAATTGACGAATAGTACTTTGATATTATTATGTCCAACTGACTAACTATGCGAATATCATAACGTTTTAGTATCCTACTAATATTAACATATATACATGTAGCATATATTATAATTTATCACCACCGGTTAGGACGTCGACCTTGGTAGATCGGGGAGCACACATATATATGAACTATTGACCCTGTTTCGGACCCGCTTGCTACACACTCGTCTTTCTTAAAGACTGTCGAGTCGTAACGAACCCACCATTTATATTTTGCTTTGTCCTCCAACACAAGCGTCTACATACATTGGCTGCTGATCATGATAGGACACATAATGTCAAATAATGAAACGCTTCGGGCGCAAACAAAAGAGATGGACACTACTGTACACAAACACAGTGTTGTTTAGTCTTGATATCCAAATCCTGTTAAAGTTTCGGTCCTATTATCAAGATATAATTATTCATCTATTTATTTATTTATTTAAATATAGTGAAAAATATATTGAGAACGCAATTTAACACATGCTACCTGTTGAGATTTTGTTCTAATTTCTATATAGAATTAGTTAGTCTAAATCGGTTTGTTACTGGTATCTTTCAACAGTGAAAAGATGAACTACTTCTCTTTTTGTGTTAAATTTGAATGAGATTATATCGTTCTATTATTGTTCAAAATAAAAATACCAACACTTAGTGAACAGCATCTCACATCTATGCTTTTCCTGAATGTGGACACGCCTAAGGTAAAGACTAGTAGTGTACGTTGTTGAAGTTAATGTGTGGTATAGGCAAGTATACCTCCACTAAATTATTAGAGTGATTTCTCAAGTCAGTTTCAACGTTTTACTTTGTATTTAATTGCAGGTCTACACATCGTACAAAGTTACAACAATTTTCCCTCAATAATCTCAATCGGACTGGTACCTCAATCAGTCGTCTCACACAGCCTTGCACATAAAGTAGGGACCTTCACAGGTGAGACAGACTGGACAGTCGTCAAATGTGATAATACACAGGTGAAATGAGGAAAACATAATGTAAATGCCAGTCAGACGTATGAATCATGAATACTAGCAGACATATCTGATTTAAATAACCGAGATAATGCTTACCTTGAAAAATAGTTTAGTGTACCATCTGACAGAGTGACGACGAGAAATCATTTGACTATAACTTTACTGTCATACATATTTATTATTTTGACACACTTACACACAATACTAGATAAATCGTAGATACGAAATTGTAATTTATTATATATATATAACACACAGTACATTCTAATGTATACTGCTTGAATTTCATAAAAGTACATGTTTTAGGTGTTGTGAAGAAAACAGTCATGCCCAATTATTGTAGTGTACTTACCTTAGCCCAGACGACCTGAGCGTGTTTCGAAGTAATGCTCGATTCAACAACACATGTTCATCACACACCTTTCGATGGTGTTTTCTCACTACGTCAACATTGGGTGTATAAAGGTTAGATGTCAATAGGTCAACGTCATAGTCCTTTTCAAAATAGTACATATAAAGAAAAGATTACACACTCAGTTGTGGTAACCGTGACTACGGTTCGACCCATCTTTTTTTAATTTTTATTTTGAAATCTTGGATTACTGGATCCACATCCTCTATTAAAAATAAAAACGATCGGACTATGAGCTACGTTTCCCGCAGCTAACATACAGTTGTAATTTGACAGTTGATTCTTAGCCAACATTTCAAAAATACTGCGTCAATCGTCCTCGATATCCAGGGGTTACGCTTACTTTCGCTCTCTACACCCCTGGAATATGTCATAGCAAAATTGAAGGCACGAAGATAGCTGTTTGATCGGTATCAGGTAAAAAAAACTTTACAAAGAAGAGACGCCCGACTTCAAAGCCTGTCAATTTTTACCATGACATGACCGCGAGATTCTTTTTATGTATATCAAAGGATCGAACACGTCTTCTCGTCTCATCAACAAGGTGGCGCACACTGAGACTTCATTTTTGACATGTTCGAGGGGTGTAGAGAGCGAAAGTGAGCGTAACCCCTGGATTTAGAAGATGTGCGTCACCTGGCCAACACTTCATTTTTTATGTCTGCGTTAACTTCGGTTATAAACTGTTTTAAGTATTTCTACATGTAATCCCATATAGGTAGTAACATGATTTATGAACGGCGTACTTAATTATTTAAATACAGCATTGACCTCTGGAGAAAGATAATTTTGATGACAGTGTAGATAGCGTAGATACTAATGAAAATGTGTTTCAGTACGTTTCTTGTACAGGTATCAGTACGTAGTTCATTCCTTATGTTTTCTTGTTAATTGAACCAGTTTCCATACAGAAATACCAGTAATATTCATTTTAGATACGTTATTATACCAGATAGGTGTAGTTTTGAATAGTGACATCGCACTGGTATGAATTCTTGCCAAAGTTTTCTTATATATTCCATGCGTTAATAAACAAATCTTTCCAAATATGGTTTTAACAATTGTCTCATATTTATATAGATATTCAAACTAATAATTTGGTAATATTTTTGTGTGTGATGTTTTTTATAATCTCCGGCGGTTTACCTGATGTTCATGTATAGCCTCATTATCCATATTGATCTTAATGATTCAATAAATGACCTAAATTGCATCATATTAAGTCTAATGCCAACATATTTATTTATTTTCATAATAGCATCCTTTCTAAAGTTTAGATGTAAAGAAACCCTCCCAAAGCACCAGTTTCCATAGGTCACAGTACTAGATTTCGGGACACAAAACAATGATTCTGACTCCGACCGCAGTGATCGTGACGGCTAATACAGGGTGACAAGATTATGTAGGTACTGGGGAGCTGTCATTCCATCCAGTACCTTGTATGTGTCCACCAAAATTTTGTACTGCGGCTTGTATCGTACTTATTAAATACTCCTTTCCTCAAAGATGTTCAATGTTACCACATTTCACTGCGCAACTAGCCCTAACTTTTTTTATTGCAATAAGTATACGTATATGCTGGCATAAGGCCCATTCATTTGATTATTTGACACATTATGTGCGGAATGTCCCGTCTCTATGCCAATACACTGCGAAAATTTAGTTCATTCACTGGTCTTGATCGCAAAATTATAGACCGTGTAAATTGAATATTCTGAATTTAGGTCCAAATCCCGAAAATTCAAGCCCTTGTTAAATACTCTGTTATACGGTACCATGTGGTTTATATATCAATGTAAAAAAGTGGTCAAATGCATATGCACTTTTTTCCCCCCTTTTCATTCATACAAAATTCGTTTTCTTTGGCGATTTGTTTTGGTTATTTTTGGTGTTATTGACTTAAGAGTTTAGGTTTATGAACCAAGTGCACTTGTTAAGTAATGTTGTTTAATCTCATCAGTATAATATGTAAACTCTTTTCCAATTTACTTTGATTAGTTCCTCATGTCCTATGTACTGCTGTTTTTTCAATTTTACAACAGGTCATCTCTTGTCATGAAGACCGTTTACATTTCACATCGTTCCTCAGATAATTGGTAGCTAAATAACAGTAAAACAACATTCTCCAGCTGACATCGATCGAGATGTTTACATTAGTTTAGGTTATAATATCATTTTAATCAATGCAGCATTATAGCCGTCTGGATATACACAGTGTGGTTGGTTACAGAAACTGTACAATTATTTTGATCAAAATGTGCTTAAAAAGAACAAACACCGATTAACTCATGGTCAGTTGATCATCTTCTACAAAATAAACTTTGTACGGCGTGCAATGTAATTATGCTAATGACAATATTAATACTAGCAGGAAAAAACCCCCCAAATATATAGAAAATAGCACGTACTTAGTATCGTCACAATATTTATCATAATTATCTGTCATATCACCCTCGATAGTCAGGGGGTTACGCTCACTTGCGCGCGCCCTAGCCTCTGAACCCCTGATATGACAAAATCGGAGGCTCGGTATGAACCACTTTGTGGATTGGACAAGAAGACTCGGTAAAATGACTGGGTTGTCGCTCCTCTGTAAACTTCAGCAGTTTTTTTTTATCCGAGACAAATCAATATTCCAATTTGATATAAATATTCTCGATACTCCGGGATTTACGCTCACTTTCACTCGCTGTAGAATATGTCATTATACATAGTAAAATCTGGATTGTAAACTGTTTCGTCTACGAGGGCGAAGACGATATAATAAGGAGGGGACGGAACTGGGCTTGTTCGATCGTTGGCGAAAGGTAGCTCGATTTGGTAAAGCGTCAGTCTAGAGTTCGAAGGTTCCCAGGTTCGAATCCGGTTTGGCCGTGCATTTTTTTTATCTCCTGTTACACATGTACACGAGTTGATAATAACATTAAAATGATAATGTTTTCATCAATAACCTATTATAATATGTCACGGAAATGGACATACAAATGTTATACCAAAACAAAAAGAAACCTCCTTCATATTTATAAAAAGCAATTAATATTTTGATACTGCCTTTGGAACAATCTACCCAAACCATTTATAAAAGAAATAACTTCACTCACTTCAAATCTTTAATATCCTCCTGGATCGGTGCACAGTGCAAATGTTCAGCCTGCAAATGACACCTCAACTCCGTCACCCTCACTTCTACACGTCCACATGCCCTGTCTCAATTTTAAATATACTTTATCATATCAGTGCTAATTTATTGACTATATATATATATATGAAATCTGATGTATTTCAAAATATGCTAGATGTATTGTCTAACTACAATGTGTCAAATCTGTCCATGTCGATAATAACTTGAAATCTAATGTGTTTTTATCTAATATACTGTTTGTATTGCCTAAGTTATATAATATGTCAAACCTGTCCAGATATGATTTTTTTTTTTTGTATTTAACATGTATGTCGGTCAAAAGCTCTATAGAGCTTATGGTATTGTTGTTTTTCAAATGCCCACCGACTTTAAATAAAATTTATCTTAACATATCTTATTTCGGTTTAAGGGTTCACAACTGAGCTGTTCGCTCCACGAGACCCCGAATTATCTCCCTTTTGTGAGCAGGACAAGTCATTATGCACTGCCGAGTTAAAACAGATGGGGGGGGGGGCAAATAATACAATTTCTTCTTCATATTCTAATTCATATGATTGTACACATGTTGGCAAAGGAATAGAAATAACGTGGTTAATATTTTCCTCGTGCTCTCGTGCGTTGTACTTGACTGTACCGGGAGTACGTAGCACACTGGCTTGTATTTAGTATCACCCAGATCAGAAGCGCGGTTGCGTTTTGAAAGCCATGTGGTGTTGCACGAATGTCACCTGTCAGTGATGTGGTAGCTGTTCTGTGGTGATGTTTATGAAGCAACATGATCATAAAACTAACCAACCCATCTACAAAACTCAAATCTTTAAACTACGCACGTGTTTTCCTGAAAAGACAACAGATTTTTTTAGGGAGATTGAACTGGCTGCAGACGACGTCGTCATGTTTGTCAACATCAAGATCTCAAGAACAGAGACCGGATAAAAAACCGTTTTATGTGTCGACCCCGATTTTCTACGTCAATGCCTGTATGTAAAATAACATTAGTAGCATAATTTGGATACCGACTTTCCCACAGAGGTGTTTGCATTTGCATAGGTACTGTAGTGTATTAAACCACGGAATTATATTAGAGGGTGCGATCGCCAAGTCCGTGATTGGAAAACACTGAACATCTGAAAACTAAACATTCTTATATATCTGTATGGTTCTCTATGTACACTATATATGGTGGGGGTTCAATTTTAATGGGAGGGGGCAATTTA